TGAATTTCAAATTCGGTGTAGTGTACATGAAGCCAGGACAAGAGTGTGACGACGAAATGCTGAGCAATCGTAAGTAGAAAATAAGAAACTATGCAGATACAAAGAGAATAAATTAGCGTTAAGAGCATTTTGCTTAAAGACATTTTAGGTAAAATAAATTATGCAGCATGATTAAGTAGCTTTTCATATGCACGTTTCATTTGTTGATTTATTTTCATATGTACATACGTATATCATAAACCCATGTATGCAATTGCCAACTTTTTTTATTCACATAAATGTTTTTTTTTTTTCTGTTTCACCTAATCGAACAGAAGACGCTAGTCGAGACTTTGAGGACTTCCTGCACATACTGGGCGAACGGGTACGTCTAAAAGGCTGGGATCGCTTCCGTGGCGGATTAGATGTGAAAGGTATGATATTTCAAAAATCAGGTAACGTTATTTAAAATATGAAAGTATGTAAGTATGTACATAATATTTAATTCAAAAATTCTCAATTAATCTCAGTCGCTTGATTTCGCTTGATGTCGCTGAATTTCCCCGAAAACGACAAAAAAAAATTAAAAACAAAAATGTATGTTAGAAAAAAGTTTTCACCAAAATTAAAAATTTTGTTTGAGTTTTTAGAAAAGTTTCGAGTATATTGTGCTCGAAATGTTAGCGGAAAAAATTATTAAAGATCAATGTGAACTCTTAGCTAAGTTGCAAGTAGCACTTAATTATACTAAAGTTTATTTTCTAAGAACAAAAAAAAGTTAACTTGCTGAAATTTTTTTTATAAGTATTTAAAATGTTTCCTGTGAATTTTTTTTTTCGTTTTGAGGTAACCTTGTAATTGTTTTCAACTAGTTTTTATTATGTAACATTTACTAACTGGAGCAGAAGAATCGATTTTTTAAGAGTTGCTAATTTTTCTGCACTTTGCGCTCTTGCTACGCCAAGCTTTTATTAAAAAATAATAATTATAATGATAATAAAATTGGTTGAAAAATGAAAGCTTCATTGAATTGTGAACAGTAAATTCGAGTTTTGAACCACTGTGTTGGTATAATGAGCGAAGCTTAAATCGCTCGGACCAGTTGTCTAGTATTAAGGATCTTTTTAATGCCAGTTTGTATTCCCTTGGTTACGCTAATACATGGAGAGCAACGGGGAACTCACCCGCATGGGAGATAAAATGTGCTTCCGAAATTCAATAAGAGCAAAAATGTGTACTGCCAAATTTCGTGTTTCATGTTCCCTTCTATGGGAAGCCGTAACAGAAGGCTTTAAAGCTCGTGACTATTTCATACAAAAATAATTAAAGAATCGATCACGGAAGACTTTCTCTTCAAACGATCGAAAATAAAGGCTTCTATTAGGCACAATTTTTTGATTATTTTTCTACCAAGTACATATTATTTACATACATACCTATAACATAAGTACATGCTTAAATATTCAGCAAAGCTACTACCAAAAATCGCTAAAAAAGCATGAGAAAAAGACAACGCCAAATTTAATGTTGTCATTCAATTTTTCGCTTTCATGTCTGTCAAAAACACGATAGGCGATATGACTGGCAAATATTCGGTGTACACGCTGTACGAGGGCCACGAGATAATGTTCCATGTGTCGACGCTGCTGCCATACTCCCGGGACAATCGACAACAGGTGCGAGTCGAATACTTACTTATGTATATGTATATGTTTGTGTTACCGCTTTAAGCAGCGTGAAAGTAACTTTTGAGGCATAAAATTAAATGTCAGCTAATCTTTTTGGAAATATTTCACCATCAATTNTCGAAGCCAATTAGAATAAATATCTATGCCCTCATTTTGTGTTTTATGGAGGTAACATAAATTTATGCACAAATGCGCAGTTGTAAAAATACATATGCACGTATGTACGTATTTTCTAATCTATATAAATACGTACGAATGCGAATTTGTAAATATGGGTGTAGGTTGTATATAAGGGTGGTCCAAAAAAAGCATGTGGAAAAAGTATGTTCGGAATTTTAATGCTCTCACCCCCTAGGAATATTCTAAATCGAAAAAATATACCTCTCAACCGCTCAAACTTCCCCATGTATTTTATATGGGAAAAACCATTTTTCGTGGAAGTGTTATAGAATTCTTGCAAATCAATATCTTTCGATCGGAGAGTTCTGTTTCTCTTCAGGAGACCTCCATTAATATTCCAATACCAATTTTTTATCTTACCATTTTTTTAATACTATCGACTTTTCTATGGGTTAAATTATTGCAAGTCTCCTGAAGGGAAACAGAGTTCTCCAAACGAAAAATATATAAAAATAATAATATAAAAAATATTTTCAATAATTATATACCATTTCCACAAAAAATTATTTTTGTCCCATATAAAA